ACCAAATCATATCGACTATTCCACCACCAGTGAATTGGCCTCCAGCCTCCCCAGGCCATCAGCCTCCAATGAAGCCTTCCCTTTTCCACTCTAAAGCCTTGCCATCCCTTGCCTGCCGAACACAGTGACAGTGGCCAATTCCCTTGCCACAGCAAGCAAGAGTGCATAGCTCTTGCTTGTTCTCATCTGGGTGGTTTTGTTCATTCCCACAGGTGTGAGGAAGGGAAAAGGCCACTGACAGGTGCAGGTTAGAGCAAGGGTGGTTTCAGGGAAACCCAGATCCCTTTGGCTCTTTAAGTTAGAGTTGCCTTAGAGGGCCCCAGGTAGACTTCCTGTCAAGGGAAGCGTTAGCAGTGACATTCTGGAGCTCAGGGGAGAGGTCTGGATGCAAGGGTTATAGCTGGGAGTCAAAAATATGATCGTACAAAAGAAGGTAAGGCATTGCCTCCAGTAGTGAAAACGTTATAGATCCCCCTCCATTGGTGAATGCTATTGTGAATATGGTAGGACCGCCGTAGGGGCGAATTCCCTACAACTGGTAGAAAAGAATGTTCTGTCTGAAGTGGCCTAGAGGTGCTCCCCGCTGCAGTGCTTAGTGAAAAGCCAGGTACAGAGACAGAACTTGCATAATGACGACCTGCTCCGCAGCAAAACCCCAGCTCACTTGTGAAAATATTCAAAACCAGTCATTCAAAGTCTGGAAATGATTACGACATGCAACAAAGAGAGAAACATTCATTCAAGAAACTCTACTAAGCCTCTGTAAAAGCAAGAGTCAACCCCCCCACCCCATCCCCGCATCACCCACCCCAGTGCCATGCTGTGGACACTCTACCCAGGACTGGCACAGCTGAGAAATGGGGTACCCCCAACTCAGCGTGGGGCTAGGGTTTCACTCTGGGAGGGGTGTGTGTGCCCAGGGTGGCATCCTCTCAGGAGAAAGGATAGAGGGAGCTCCAAGCTACTAGGCTTTGGCTGAACATGGTGCAAAAGCAAATAAACTTTCTGCACTCCTGAAGCCTGTCTGACTTCAGTGTCTGCATGCCCAGCCTCTCTCCCACTGTCTGGCCTCCTGCAAGGCACACCCTGCCGCCTTTGTAGGGCAGTCCTTAGGTCCCTCCTCCCCAGGCCAGCTGTTTAGCTCATGAGTTTATTTAGGGACTTGCCTGTGGGCAGATCGTTCCTCTCTGAATGTTGCACATAAGGATACTTGAGGAATATTCTAAACATTTTTAGATGATGGTTCTGCTTAAGGTTGAAAGGAAGAAGATCTTCTCTCTGGGACTGGCATCAGGCCAGTCACCTGGAGGAATCCTGACACAATGATAGAAGCCCCTGAGCACTCTTCCTGCTCTACCTGTCATCAGGAATGTTAGCCTGTTGTCCCCAGGTGAGCTGGGACATGAGGGCACATTATTGAATCACATCAGGTCAAGCTCTCTGGCAGAAATCCAGCCTTCTCTCTAACAACACTTATGAGCAGTTCCCAATAGCACCCAGATAATAAAGCAGTGAAACAAAAACGGGAAGAGTAGGCAGTAGGTCTCAGCTCCACCAGAAATGGAGGCCAGAGGTTAGTTCTTAGCGACTAAGTTCCCATTATTCTAGGTTATAGAAACCGAGGGAACAACACAGACAAAAATTCTGCCTTTGTTGTTCTTATGTCCTAGTTGGGAGGGTGAAGTATATGGTCTATTGGAAGGGGATAAGTGCTATATAAAAATAAAAAGCAAGAAAAGGAGTAGGGAATGTGTAAAAAGGGTGGAGGTTAACATCTATACCACATCTCTTCTGATGAAGGAATCTACATTAAGGAGAAGAAAGTTTGACAATGGGCACCTGCTCTAGAAATGCATCCTTTTCATGTGACCCTACGAAGAAGGTTGAATCACTGACTAAAGACTTGATACTGGTATCAACCATATCCCATGTGGCTGGAGTTATTCTACAATAAGCAGCACATGCCTGGAAACTAGACGTGGAGGTAGCAGTGTTTCCTTACATGTTACACATAATAATCCAGTTAGGAAAATTATTTCCATCCATACAACCTTGGGTTCACTGGTATTTGAGTTAGTAATACCTAAGGGTCCAGGGAATAGAGCTGTTTCTGGTAAAAAGCAAACTAAGTTTACCCCCTCCCCACTGCCCCAGCTGTCTTAAGATCTTCATTTGCTGAACCAATAGAGAATGAGTTACTATCCTGGATGGAACAATAGATTCTAAGAAACAAGGGGAAGTTGGGAGGATTTTCAAAATGAAGTCAAGGATTGTGTCTAGAACCCAGGGGTTTTGTTCAGGCACTTCATCATGCATCTTGATTTTAAAGGTTGGTTATCTGGATGATCACAGATATGTGTATTTGTACACTTACATATGTATATACCTGTATAGCCAACCACTGAAATCAAGACAAGCAGCAGTTCCGACCAATTCCCTCATGCCCCCTCCCTATCCATCCCCTAATAGAGATAACCACTATGCTGCCTTTATTTGACTTCATGTAAATGGACTCATATATATATTCTTTCGTGTCACCCGATAATATATTGCACTCAATATTACATCTGTGAGACTCATTCGTGTGTTTCCTTTTCATTGCTGTGTAGTATTTTTTGTATGAATGCAGCAAAATTTACTTTATCATCCTGTTGCAGAAAAAAATGCTTAGGTTATTTCCGCTTTTGGTTATTGTGAATAAAGCAGTTATGAACATTTTGATAGCTGTCTTTTAGGAAAAATATGCATTAATTTCTACTGAGTCTATATCTAAAAGTGAAATGCCTGAGTCATAAGGACTATACACATTTAACTTCAGCAGATATTTCAGGTAGAATCCTCTTCCACGCATCTAAAAGCATGAGCCTTGGAGAAACAGTGTGGTTTTCAGTACCAGATCTAACACTTGGCAAATAGGTTGGTTAATATTTCTGAACCTCAATATTCACATCTGTAAATACCATTTCCAAGTGGTTCTACCAATTTAGACTTCTACTCAATATGAGAGTTCCAGTTGCTCTGCATTGTTTTCCATACTTGATATTGTCAGTTGTTTCAGTTCTAGCCAATTTGGTAAATGGTTACTAGGGTCTTTTTAACTTTTAATTTGCATTTTCTTGATGAATATTAATGAGGGCCACCTTTCCAGGTGCTCATTAGCCATTTTTTTAAAAGATTTATTTATTTATTGATTGATTGATTGATTTATACATACAAGCATTGGGTACAGTCAGAAGCGCGGGAGGGTGAGAGAATTCACCAGAGCCAGAGCGGGGAGCAGAGCAGGCAGAAGGACCGAAGCACACTGCTGAGGGGAGCAGCGGACGGCAGGAGAGGTCTGTGAGCCATAAGGGACCCTCCTCCAGTGGCGGGGGAGCAGCAGGGGATCGAACCGGCGCTGCAGAGGCTGTGGGCAGCTTCCCAACCCAGCGCTCAACCCACTGCGCCACCGGGGAGGCCCTTATATGCTCTCTTGAGAAGTACCTGTGTTTATGCATTTTGCCCATTCAAAAAATTATTTTAATTACTAATTTGTAGACGTTCTCTTTATCTGGAAATAAGTTCTTTGTCAAAAATATGTATTGCAAATATAGGTATTCCATTCTGAAGCTTGCCTTTTCAACCTCTCAGTGCTCGCATTTGATGAACAGGTGTCCGTCATCTGTTTGGTTATTATGAATAATAACCCTCTTTTATTTTGTGGTTAATACTTCTAAAGTACCAGTTTAGAAGACTTTATCCAAATGAGAAAAACCCTGATGTTTTCTCTTAGAAGTTTTAATATTTTACTTTTCACGTTTAGGTCTATGATCCATCTCAAATTACTTTGGGCGTGAAGTACTGTACTTTTTATGGAAAAAGAAATCTTTCCTCAAAGACTTTCAATGGGTTAAGGTCCCTATACACAATAGATCATGTTCTTGTTCAACATCTTAATACCCAGTTTGATCTGGCCACCTCCTATGTCTCCAGCCAAATCTTGTCTTATATCTATCTTACCCTTACCACTCCAAGTTCAGACACATTAAGCTTTGAGTTCCTTGAACTTAATCATCCTGTTGCAGAAAAAAAATGCTTAGGTTATTTCCAGGTTTTTCATCATGAATAAAGCAGTTATGAACATTTTGATATCTGTCTTTTAGGAAAAATATGCATTAATTTCTATTGAGTCTATACCTAGAAGTGAAATGCCTGAATCATAGGGACTAAACACATTTAACTTCAACAAATATTGCAGGTTACTAGTTAGGATTGATCTGGGACCTTTACCATGTAGAATGCTTCCATTCCCTTTGGTGATTACCTTCTAATCAAACTTCACGTCTCATCTACTCCAAGAAGACTTCTTTGACTGCAGAGTCCCCCTCCCTTAAATGAGATTAAGTAACCTCATTATGTGCAGTCATTGTTTCTCCCCTTCCCAATTTTAATTGTGTTTATTTGAATAACTCCCCCACTGTAACTTCTCTGAGGACAGGCAACCTATTTAGAGCACATAGGCTTCCCAAATATTATTGAACGAATTAATAAATCTCAAGTGGAATCCTCTTCCGCGCATCTAAAAGCATGAGCCTTGGAGAAACAACGTGGTTTTCAGCACTAGATCTAACCCTTGGCAAATAGGTTGGTTAATATTTCTGAACCTCAGTATTCACATCTGTAAAATGGGAATACGTTCTCTACACATGGTTGCAGTGGACATCAAACACGCGATTCACATAACCATTTAGCACAATGACCAGCACAGGATGAGTCCTACTGATGCTGATAAAATTTTGGGGGGTGGGGGGGCACAGAGCGCCTGCTCCTTTCCAAGCGCATGCGCAGTCCTCGAGGAGCCGCAAGGCGTGCCCAGCGCGCCCCCGCGCGTCCCCTTGCGTGCGCGTGCTCGACCGGAACCTCAGCCTAGGACAGAGGTAAAGGGGCGGGACCTCGGGAGTACGCCTGCGCCGTGCCCGTCCGTGCGCCCAGGGGGCGGGGTCGCGCAGGCGTGTAGGGCGCCCCGGCTCCGGAGGATAAACAAGAGCGGGGACGGGATGAGGCGGCGGTTGATCCCCGAGCAGCTAGTGGCGGTCACCGAGGCGGCGAGTGGGACCCGGCGCCGACCCTGAGCGCACCCGACCCGCCCTCCCGCGCTCGCGTCCCAGGCCGGGCCGACCTGCCCGCCCGCCCTCTGCGCGCCCACCATGAACCTGGCGAGTCAGAGCGGCGAGGCTGGCGCGGGCCAGCTGCTCTTCGCCAACTTCAACCAGGACAACACGTAAGGCCGGGCCGGGGGCGGGGACGGAGGCGGGGGCTGAGGACACGGGCCCGGGTGGTGGGGCCTGGGCCGGGGACCGAAGGGCCGGGGCCAAGGCCCGGGGAGAGCACCTCATCCCGCCCTAGCCCGCCCGGAGCGCGGCCAGTCGAAGGCCCGCCATGCCCGTGGCCTGGGTCGTGGCACGAGGGTCACTCTTTGGGAAGCCTCCCGGAACCATCCCTGAGCGGGGAAAGTGATGGGAACAGGGGGATCTGTCAGCCCCCGGCGAGAACGCGTTCTCATTTTGGACCTCACTTCTCACCAAGTTGGGACAGAACTTTGTGGCTTGACCTGTTGTCCTCGCCGCCTCTGGGGCGGTGGGAGTGGGTTACTGGCATCCTGCCTACCCCCCTGCTTCCTGAACCCTCTCCCCCCACCCCCCTCCCCACTCTTCCCCTCTTCAGGCCCTTCTCTTTGACACTTCATCATCTTAGGATTTCTTCCCCCCTTTTTGTTTCCTTTCTTTCTGTCTCCATGTTCTTTTTGGCAAGTAACTTTGATGCCCTCCCCGAGCAAGAAACAAATTTAGCAATAATCCTGGCCTCCGACCTGCGGAGAAACTGAGCCAGGGGGATTGACAGAGGAGTCTTGGTGCTTCAGAGAATGGGCCATCCTTAGGGGAGGAGAGGCCCTTGATGCCAACCCGTGGATTTGGAATGCTCTTTGTCCAAACTGATAAGGGTTTGAAGTCGATTCTTCACATGACAAGTGAGGATAGTTAGTAGATGAGGTTTTCTGGTGAAGAATGATGAGCTATAGGACTGGAAGGGAGGAGTGTCATCTTGGGAAGTGAGTAAGAGGAAGTGATGTAAGAGAGAAGGAGTGGGTTATTGCCTTCATACTAAGTAGTTGGTGGAATTGTTACTGGCTGAGTGGAATCAGCAAAGTAGAAAATGAAATTTCTTAAATTAAAAGTTAACTGTAGAGTGGCAAGCACCAAGTCAGCTGCATGCCGCAGGTGCTGACTTGCACCTTCCCAAAGTTGTGAAACTAGTGAAGATAGCCCCACCAGGAGTGTTGTGCAGAGATTCAGGAGAGAGCAGGTCGCCCGCTCCTATTATAGAGGAAACTGAAGTCCAGAAAGATTCAGGGCTGTGCCTGGCTCTTAGATTTGCCTAATAGTGAAGTGGACTAGAATCTAGATTTTCTGAATTCTCTTCTAGGGTTCTCTTGACTCCGCCACTCTGGTTTTTTTTTGTTTTGTTTTGTTCTTTGTTTTTTTTTTTGTACCTACACAGTAGGACTTTGAGGACAGTGAGTTTAGAAATCATACTATAGCAATATTTAAAGATTAAAACTACCAGAGTACCATAGTGTTCTATGTGACCAAAGACCAGTGCAACAAAAAACAGTTTAACAACCTGTTGCAAATTGTTAAATTGGGATAGACTATATTAATCCAGACAAGGAATAGAACCTTTTGAACCAACTGTGATTTGGTTTTTAAACCCTTAGTATTTTGAAAACTGACAAGAAAAGGTAGTTTTATAGTTTATGTCTTAGATAAAGAATTTCCAGTATGTTTTCTATCTTTCAGTTTTTTACTATTCATCATTTATAGTGAAAGGAAACTAAATGTGGGAAAGCTTTCCCTTTTACTTTTATTTCAAGTGGACTACCAAGTTCCTTAAATAATAGAAGAATGTCACTCTGGCCTAAAATAAGACCTTTTCACATTTGGAAATCATGTGCTTCCCAACTCCGGAGATTCCTGAGGTTATTTGTTCAAGTGAAAATTTCTGTGTCATAATTTTGACTTGTCACAGTCAAAATGTTGTGTGAATGTAAAAGAAGTATTAAGTTAGGTGTATACTTTATTGATTAAAATGACTAATCTGTCTTAAACCTACACTTGAAATATACAGAAGTTCTTGGGAAAAGCTTTACTGTTTATACCTTTCTCTCTTTTGCCCATCCCTAGGATTTATTTTACTAGAGAAACATTTTTCACAAGGCAAAGGATGTTGGTCTAGAATCCGTAGTCACTGTATTCAGTGAGGAAAACTGGAAGCTGTTTCACTTAATAGAGTACATGTAGGTTATAAAGTGATGCCTAACGACAGATTATTCCTTTCATAAACATACCTATTTTGCCTTTCTTCTTGTGCTGTTAATATGGTTTCAAATATTGTGGCTTTTTTTTTTAATGATTCATATCCTAAGTGTGAATACATTTTATTTGTGGTTTTTTGTTTTTACCATTTGTTTTGTTTTTACCATTTTTTTAAACTAGAGCAGCGAGAAAGAGCTCCAAGAACAGCTGATCTCAGGCACCTCTCTGTTGACTGGTTAGTTCCAATACTAGTTTCTGAAAGTAACACTTTGGAAGACCTATTGTGGAGGAATTCTTGAATTCTTGGCTTTTTGAAATTGAAGTTAACAAATCAGTGGTAGAGTATTGTTTGACTCTTCCATGAAAATACCAGGGACCAAATTCTACCAGTTTATATTACTTAGCTTGTGGGGAGTCAGTGTTTTGGTAATGTCTGTTTTGACTTACATCTCTAAAAGGAATGTAATAAAGAAGGATTTGATTTTCCAGATCTTCTATTTGTAAAATTGATGTTTCAGTCTAGAAGAGCTACAGGTGTAGAGACAATAAGGAAGACCTTATCTGACTTAATTGCTCTCTTCACTGAGTTTCTGCTAGGTTACAGTTATTCTCAGATTGTCACTCTCTGTGCTCTTTTGCCTCATCTGTAAATTGAGGGGCCTGAGAGTAGATTCTTAGGACCCTTCCACCTTAAAATTTTAGTGTTCATTCTGCCATCTGTAGAGGGGATCTGTGTGAGGAGGCAGGGCAGTCACTCAGAAGGATGTTCTATTGCAGGGGCCAGTAGAAAGGAGATTGGTTAGCTATCAGGACTTGGTGTAACCCATAGGATAGGCATGATGCACTTAAGAAAGCAGTTAAGGTTACTCCCAAGGTGCTGGCTTGGATTCTAAGTGAACAGTGCCAACAGTGTGGGAGCAAGCAGAGGATTCAGTTTTAGGGGACAGATGAACTGTGCTTTGGCTGCTGTTGAGATTGGAAGGCCTCAGGGTGCACATGTGGAGGTCTGGGATGGAAACCATGTGAGCTGGAAGGAAGCAGTTCAGGTTGCTTCCTTCTTGTGGGTGTAGACCTTTTCCACTTAAACCTGTAATCAACTATGGCTCTTTCATGACAAAGATAATGAAAAGGGAAAACCTTTATGGAGGAAGCATTGGCAAGAGGGTAGAGAAAAGAAAATGGGGTTAAGAAAACTCATTCGTTTTCCTTTTTTGGTAGAACTCACTGTCTTTCAGATATTGAAAACCCAAGTTTAAATTCAGGACAAATTTTACAGTCAAAGGTGGTGTATCAAGTTCAAGCATTTATTTTGTCTTCCCCCCAAAACCTTAATAAAATGTCAGTCACTAAAAATAACAAAAAGATAAACCATACAATGGGAGAATGAGAATGAGACACTAGCAACAAAATTTTGGAAACTACCAAGTACTGAAGGAAAGTGGATCCTAAATTGCTAGTGGAAAAAGCAGAGAACCACCTTAGTTTCAACTGCAGAATCCCCAGAAGGTTGACAATTGGAAGTCCGGGGAAGCTCTAGAAGTGGAATAAGGATGATGAAAATAAAGAGGATTGGCTCAAAATACATTTCCAAAGCACTCACTCTCTCCTGTCCCAGCAAAGGGTCTCTGAGTTTTGATACCAAGCACAGTTGAAGGCAGGAAGATAGTAATGAAGTGGGGGATTAAATAAATAGTGCTTTTTTTCTGTTATGGTTTGCTAGTTTTTCTCTTTGTCAGTGAGAGCTCTCTTTTATTCCCTCAAAAAGCATGTTATGTGAATGTTTACTGAGGTATAAGATTATTAGGGGAATCCATACTTACTGTTACCAGACTTCTCCCATTACTATGTCTGCCATTGTGTGGGCTGGTGAATCATGGGAAATTATTAAAAGTAGACTCTCCAGAGGAGTGTGTGAACTGGTTGTTCATATTTGGGATGGAAATATCAAACCTATTTATGTTTATCACATACTTTAAAAAGTTCTGCTTTTACTGATAAAATACATACTAAGCTGTATGTACATACTAAAATAATTGAATATTTTGTTTACATACCAACTGCAGTATACCGTTTCATAGTCTATAGGATTAAAACTCTAGCTGACATGTTTAAGATCCCAAATTAGTTTCTTAATGTCTAGAAAAACACATTTCATGAGTAAAACCCATTTTTAACAAATACTACTTGTTTGGAACACAAATTAAAAACCTGAATCTATCAAAACCAAGAATCAAGCACTTTTGCCCATGGATTCCCTGACTAAGCTTATTTTACACATAATAGTAATAAGCTTTGATTTCCAAGTCACTGAGAAGATAGAAAGGAGGAGGGGCTGTTAATTGTGGTCACAAGGACAAGCAACAACTGTCAGCACCATGTCTGGCCATTTGATGTAGGTACGCAAAACCCTTAAGGACTTGTTAGGTTTTTGAGCATCACTGTGTTACAATAGAGGAATAGGTAACTTAATGATGTGAGTTCGGGAAAATATCCACCCCCTTGTTTTAAAAATACAGAATAGTATGTAAGAATAACTTTTTTTTTTTTTAGGTCAGGAAGGAAGGTTTTAGGTATGGAAGGAAGGTTTTATTGCTTGAAATAGCAACCCTTAGTTATCTGAAAACATTTTTCTGAATACTGTTTTCCCAAAAGTTGTACATTGCTAGCATTTTATTTTTAGCCTTTCTATTTTTTGTTCTTTAATTACTTTTCCAAATATTACAGGTAATACCAAATTACTTCATTGATAGAATCCAATACAGTGAAGTGATTTTACAAAGAAAAATTATGTGAGCTGGTAGTTTTGTTTCTGTTAGGATGAACCAATTGTAGTTTAAAATTTTAGTAGTGCCTTTAGCAACTCTGCTCTTGGAATGTATTGTAACCTCTTGAGGTTGTACAAATCTCAAGTTTGTAATACATAGATGACATGGGCATTAGAATTGCCATCATTTTTATTTGGTGTACAAATCCTCATAGTATGAACTATCAATCTTCCTTATTTCTAGTCTTCTGGTTCACCTCCTGCCACCACTTGTTTTCATGTTCTCCCAAACAGTAAATGTAGAGAGGATTCCACCAGCTGAATCTCCGTATCCCTCTGCTCCCTGCTTTTTTCTCTCATCTTTTGTTTGGTAACACTGTTCTTGATTTTTACCCTTGGTCAGTCACCTTCTAGAGAGTAGTAATCTTCTGGTGAGGGAAGTATTTGTTAGTATCACAGATCTCCTGTGCCAGGAGAATCTGGAGAACTCTTGGGGTCCCCCAAGCGTCTTCAGAAAAGTAGAATGTTGGATGATGAATACAGATTTTACAGATGATACCATACAGAGAACGGAACTTTCACTTTTTCCTCCTAAGCCGACTGTAATCTTCTGATCCCGGCCCTGCACTGACCGTTTTGGCTAGCCTTATTTCTGCCCCTGCTCAGCCATAGCACAGCATGAGTGATGGAGCTGCCCTTGAAATGCAGAAAGATATCCTCACCCACACCTAGGTTGTGAATTAAAATTTAGAATGTTAACTTACTTTTGGACTTTAATGCTCTGCATGTGTATTAAATCACCTGGAAAACCCCAATTTGTTTTGAGGAAATCATTAACTTAGAGCTAATTTTCATCTATACCAAACTTAAAAATTTTATAAATTCTAAATTAAACTGTTGTCTGTATTTTTATTGATCATCACCTTTTTCTGGGCTATGCGATGTGGCATCTTTCTCTGCCACATTCTTCTTTTCCATTCAGCTGCCACTCACCTGATATACCTGAAATTATTTGTCTGTATATTTTTGATGGTGGTGAAAGTTATACTATTTGGTAACATGAAGCTAGTTTGTACTTTATCACTGTCTATACTTCTCAGCTCTTATTTCTAAATTTGGCTTTTTTGCAGGTCCCTAGCTGTTGGTAGTAAGTCCGGTTATAAATTTTTCTCCCTTTCTTCTGTGGATAAACTGGAACAGATCTATGAATGCAGTAAGTGTTTGCTTTCTTTTTCCCCCTTCTTAAAAAAAAAAATAGACAAATTATACTTGAATTGGAATTCGTTCTTTAATTCAAACACTGGTTACAGTCCAAATATCCCTTGACAAGTCTGTGTCTTTTACCTTCATTTTACCAAGCGTGACAACTATGAACAGTTTAAATATGTTCTCCCAGCTCTTTATACATAGAGAAATACTTGTTTTGTGGGTTGTCTTTTTCAAATCATAGTATTATACTAGACGTGTTATTCTGCAATTTCTCCCCCTTTTCAGTGCCATTTGAACCCCTTAGGTTTCTGTCATAAAGGGCTCCAGAAAAATGAAAAAAATTCAATTCCTATAGAAATGATTTCTCTTCCTCAGTTGTCACTTTATGCCACTTGGGTAGCCTGAACGTCAGAGGTGATGTGTTATTGCGAGAGCAATTGGGGAGCCTAACTTTTTGCCCAGGCACTTACTGTGTGACTTTATAAATAGATCAATCTATCTCTGGACCTTAGTGTCTCTAGTTTTTATAGATGTGTGTGAAAGGGAACGTCTGTATGCACATACGCAGTAGTAATTGTCGAGTGAATATTAGCGGGTACAGATCCATGCTGTCAGTGAGAATGCTGGACAGCTTTGAACTCGCCCACATCCATAACTTGCTTTTCAGTCAAGGTAACTGTGGGCTCACATGCAGTTGTAAGAAATCATACAGTTCCCTGTACTCTTCTCTGAATTTCCCCCAGAGGCAGCATTTTGCAGAGTAATAGTAATACAACCGTGTAGATTCCTGATTCTAGCGCAATCAAGACACTGAACAATTTCAACTTCTCTCTCAGCCCAGCCCTAATTCTTGGCAACCACAAGGCTGCACTCCATTGCTAAAATGTTGTCATTTCAAAAATATGTAAATGAAAGCATATAACCTTTTGGGATTGACTTTTCTCACTCAGCATAATTCCCTGGAAATTCATCTAAGCTGTTGTGTCATTAGTGTGTTCATTTTTACAACTGAATAGTGGTCCACGTTAGAGATGTAGTACGGTTTAACTATTCACCTATTGAATGCCACTACCAATATTTGTGTACAGGTTTTTGTGTAGATGTGTAAGTTTTCATTTTTTCTGGAAAAACATGCAACTGCTGGATCATATGATAATCACATGTTTGGTTTGCTTTCGCTTTTTTTTTTTAAGAAACTGACAAACTGTTTCCCAAGTGGCTGTAATGTTTTTACACTCCTACCAATAATGTGTGAGTGATCCACTTCCTGTGTGTCCTTGCCAGCATTTGGTGTTACCACTGTTTTTTTTTTATTTCAGCCATTCTGATAGTTGTGTGCAATACTATTTCCTTGTAGTTTTAATTTGTATTTCACTAATGGCTCATGATGTTGAACATCTTTTCATATGCTTATGTGCCATCTGTAAATTCTCTTCAGTGAAATGCCTGTTCATATTTTTGCCCCTTTTTAAGTAGGATTATTTTTAAAATGTTGAGTTTTGAGAGTACTTTACATACTGTATATACTAGTCCTTTGCCAGATATGTACCTTGTAAGTTTTTCTCCCCCTCTAAAACCTGCCTATAGCCTTGACCTAAGTTAAGAATCCTCGTTATAGAGACTAGAAAAGTTCAGTGTTCACAGTGTACCTCTTAGAATTAGTCATACTGGGACATAGATTTGGGGAGAAGTTTAATATTCATCATTTACATTTTCTCCATGAGCATGCAGTTTGAGAGAATTGGGTTTTCTCCTTTTTAAAAAATGCCAGTACTTTCTTCCTAGAGTGTTCCAGTGTTATCAACTTTGTTTTCAATACAGTGTGGTGTTACACTTTGGAGTTCTCCTTTACCTGGTTCTTTTTCTTAAGAATGGGGAGGGTCAGTGAATAGACAGTCATTCTTGTTTGCGTTCACTCCATGAACATCCATTGAGGCTTGCCTTGTGCCAGCCCTCTCTGGTTGTGACGATGCAGTCATGAGAGTCCCTGCTCTTGTGACACATTTAAACGGTAGAAGACAAAGAATGAGTAATTGTATTTGTGTCAGGTGTCAGGCTGGGAACACAATGACAAGCAGATACACACACACCTGCCATAGATGAACAGACAAGGAAAAATGTTTTTGTGCCAGTAACTGAAGATCACAGAGATTTTTTGACACACCAGGAGTGGGTTAGAGACTTCAGGCTCTCCCCTAGGCCTTTGTGTTGGGTTCCCTGCCTCCTCTCTGCAGGTAACCTCTGACCTCCATCAGTGGAATGTGTCTAACTTTCCCCAGTAGTCCTTTTGTTGTTGCTGCCCGAAGGCAAGCGCCCAGGCCTTGCATAGGGAGACATAAGGAAAGTGGGGCTCATGGTTCTTGCTGGCTCTTAGATTTTACTCCTTTTTTTGTTTTCAGAATTGCCTCCTGATGCTTAATACATCTACTAAAAAAGCTTTTTCACTCATTTACAGCTGAAAGATGTGATCTGAGTGAAAAACTAGGGTGAACTAGGGTGCTCATTTATCTCACGTGGGTATACATGTTTCTGAAAATCTCCAAACAGGCTGTTTCACCCTATCCCACAGAAGATTGTTCCCTATAGGGGATTTTTTTTCAAAGGAGAGCAGCCTGATCTCTGGCAGAAGGATTTTTCCTTAGGCTTTTATGAATGATTGAAATATTTATTAAGTCTGGGCCTCCCTGGTGGCACAGCAGGTTGAGCACAGCATTGTGAAGCTGTCCGCAGCCTCTACAGTGCCAGTTCAATTCCCGGCCAGCCAGGGAGATTCCTACATGGCGTGGCAGACCTCTCCTGTCTCGCCCGCTGCTCCTCTGCCTGTTCTGCTCCCTGCTCTGACTCTGGTGAGTTCTCTCACTCTCCTGCTCCTCCGCTCAGTATCCCAGCTCTTGTATAAATAAAAATAAAAATAAATAAAATCTTAAAAAAAAAAAAAAGAAATATTTATTCTGTATCCAAACAAAGTGCCTGAAGTGTGCGGTTAAATTTTGCCATCTGTTTGAAATCCACAGAACTTTCTCCCTTAATAGGAGACCCAGTACTAAGAAAAGGTTTAAGACTACCATAACCCGGTTTTCACTCTTTCTCAATTGAATCAATTTAATGACTAATCTGCTTCCTTGAGGTTTATTTAAAATGCATTGGTGCCTCATTTTTTCAAGGATTTTTTGATGGAACAAATTGTGACGTCTTGATAGCATCTTTAAAATATTTGCTGACCAGTATGGTAGAATCATGGTATATAGATTTCCTTATTAGTGGACCTTGGCCCTTAAAAATAGATGATGAAATGGACAAAGATAACTCTTGAGTGTTAATAGTTTAAAACTAAAGCTATAAATTCCTTTGTTCCTAGAACATTCTCTTTCTTTCATCTTTCACATACTTTTATTGAGTAGATAAAAGAATGTCTCCTTAAAAACAGAGTAGCTAGTAAATCAAGATTGATTTTCTAGCATTTTTCTACAAATAGTCTCAGAGCAAAAACCTGATGCCTTGATATTTAGTCCAGACTTTTTATAGGTTCAAACTCTCATAACTCCTAGTCATCTATTGTAAAATCAGATTTTTGCTCTAGTCACTATTACTGTTACAGAAAGAATGAGCCAGAACGGGTCTTAGGAAAATGAGATTGACAGTCACTTGTGGGTTTTTTTGTTTTGTTTGTTTAACAAAAAAAAAAAAAAAAACTTTGACCAGCAACTTTGGAAGAATTTTTTTTTTTAACACTATCTGTACTGTTGTAATATAAACTTTAGAAGAAAGTTGCAAGAACTCCCATAGCTTTTTTGCCTGTTGTTTATCCATGCCTCATTGGTTCTGACCCTCTGTATGTCCTCCTTTTGTTTGTTTGAAGATAAATAATGTGCAAATATGTGGTCTTTCTTCTTTGCAATCTTACTGCAAAATTCTACAAAGATACAAAATGAACAGGCTTTAAGTGGCACAGGGCTTAAGTCTCAGCGCTATCAAGCTATTGCCAGCCACTGCAGCATGTGTTCGATCACCGGCCAGGGAGCTACCCACATGGCGCAGCAGACCTCTCCTGTCTCACCCACTGCTCCCCTCAACAGTGTATTTCAGTAGATCCGCCTATTCTGCTCCCCACCCTGTCTCTCACCACCTGCACCTCTGGCCTACACCCCAGTTCTTCTACACAAAAATAAATAAATATTTTTTTAAAAAAGTACAAAATGAAGATTTATTGTGAAATTTCATGGATGTTTAGAAGGAAGTTTACTTTTTAGACTCTGCATTGTGTGTTTTATAAGTTTTGAGCTAGGCAAACATACCTCATAAAGAATTCAAATCTGAAACTTAAACATAAGCACTCTATCCCTTAGCTCAGCAAAAGTGGCTAGAGCCTACTTTGAATGTGGAAATCAGATATATAACACCTTTTACCAGCCTTCTTGCTTGGCCAAGGAACTAACCATCATTTACTTTATAGGCCATCATCTGCATCTTAAGACTTGAGAAATGGTGCTTTTTGACATTCTGATTTGACAGACCATATGTTAGTTGGAATATTAATTTAGTGAGATTTATAGTAATGGATTTTACAGGGGACAAACTCCTGTCGTTTTCTCCCTGCCTGAATCAGTTGTAATGGAAGATCCTGCTCTTGCATCTCTTTAAGAGCTCCAGGCATCCACCAGACATGTCTCGTTTAAAATTGTTATGTCAATTATTTAATGACTTTGTTCTTCCTTTCCTGCTACCATTGAAGTTTTTATTGTGAGTTCTACAGGACACCCACAAAAGCAAGACAATATTCTTTATTAAATCAAATAATTGATTTTTACATTAAGTTTGGACAGACAATCTTTAGGAAGAAAGTATGGCAGAGGCCACCTGAATTGGGCTCTCAAAGCAAGTCTTTAGACCCTGGAGTTCACTGAATTTATGTTCAGACCTGCTTGGTGGTCAGCCTGGGTGTTTACAGTGCTGTCTTGACAACAGGCCACTTGGACCAAGTACAAAGGTGCAACCTGGTTTCCT